GCTGGGTTTTGTGAGGAGTTTGGGTTTGTGTGCTGAGGTTACAGAGTGTCTGCTTCAAAAAGAGGGAGCACGGAGCCAYGGTGATCTCTGATGGACAAAAACTGTGGAAAAGTAGCTTAATAATTTATAGTTTRACATAGTTGCTAAAGATTTTATTGTTCAAATTAAAAAGAAAAARAAGRAAATCCCARTCCTTRTCTGATTTTTATCCCTTCMTTTGGAAGGAGGTRRTTCACTTYGCCACACAGTTCACTTATCAAATCAAAGTAAATCATGGCTTTTCCTGCAGTTTTCTCCCCTGGCTGGTGTGAGCATTTATTCCTTGTCAGGGATTTTTTCCTTGTCTGCCTTGGTTTGATCATTCTGGGGATGTTTCAGTTCCAGTCTGGGATGTGCCTGGACAGCCTCCAGCACTGCCCATTGTTCTGCCTTCCTTTGAGCTGCAAGTGACAACTGAGCTCTAATTTTTAAATTTATTTATTAAAGAATCGAATCAACAATCTCCCCATTGCCAGTCAGGATCAGCATTCAGGCAGAGCTGGCTCTGTGTGATTCACCCCCAGCATTTGCAGCAGTGTTTCCTCTTTGCTGTCACGGTGGGGATTGTTCAGTCTGGCTGATATTGGAAGGATTTTGAACAGAGATGGAAGGATTTTTGTGTCTGGTGACAAACACATCTTTGTGGTTTATTCCTGATGCTGTGACAGAGCTGGCAGTGCCAGAGCAGCTTTCAAAACTGGAGAGGGAACTGAGATTATTAAAGGTAACAGCCGGGCCAGGAAATGTGTCTGTYTGCATTTCAGGCTGGAGATTTGTCCATCACCAGAGCTCCTTTCCAAAGGAAGAAGGGTTTTTTAGCTGAAACCAGCAGGATCTTCAGGTTGTCAGCTGCTTTTCAAGTTGAGGTTACTTTATTGTCACCAGGTGTTWCTGAGCTGTGTTTTTGGTGCTGTTCTGCACATCYTCACTGCAYRGAAAGCTGCTGTGAACAGATGTGARCTCATTCATSAATRTTTGTCCTGGATGGCATTCCAAACATTAATTAAATGTGAGTTCTTTTCACTTTTTGATGACCTTGCACATGGATCCATTTAGGATTGTTTACTCTCAGTCAAGGCCTTTACTCAGTGATGGTGCCCTGCACCTTCCCAACCTCTGCTATAATTTATATTTTCTTTTTTGCCACTGTCCCCAGAAGTGRCATTTGCCTGTGTGAATTCCACAGCTCACAAAGGTTTTCCTTTGAAATGCCACGGGTGCAGAATGGAATCAAAGATTTCAYTCTGAGTTCAGGGTGCAGTGGAAATCCTCTCATGAGTTTTTGTSACAGTTTGTGCCCGGGTCAGTCTGAAATGGATGGAGAAAGCTGAGAGAGAGCACAGAGAACTCCAGCAGATGTCATCAGTGGGATATTGTGGGATTGTGCCCTGTCTAACCCGTGAGCAGGCTTTGTTATAGATGTTATTATGCCTCTAAAATTATTGAACAGCAAGTTGTGGTTTTTTTTTGGAGTCCCTTTACCTTTTTCAATGACATCTCGCTTTCAAAATTCCCAGGATCGTGGAGATAATCAGGCAGGGACCCTGCAGAGAGTTATCCTTCCTGGAAAGCCAAATACTCATTCTCCTCRGATGGTTTAGATGAGTTCCTGTTGTATTTTTGATGTATAACATTTTGATACCCGTCCCATAACAGTCCCCAAAATAAAAAGCTTTAGGACATTTTCCTATGTGTCTGGATTCAGAAATTACCAAAATTCCAGGTTAATGCTCCTTTCCTTCACCCAAATTCTCCTTTGGTGGAATTTCTCCCATGGYTYGAATATTTTCAGTTTCCTCTTTGGRAAGAGSAATTTGGTGTTTCAGAGCTCTCACAGCCCTCAACCTGCAATTACAGCTCTCCCCTATAAATATTTAAATGGCAGTTCAGCTTTCAGACAGAGTACACCAGTGACAAAGATCAAGCTTTCTGACCTTTTGTTAATTTGCTCAGTGAAATAGGATTCCCATGGTCTCATTTTTTGTATTTAAGGGGAGAAATTTGCATACAGAGAGGGTGTTGGCTTTKCTCATTTTTGTTGCTAATTTCCTTTTGGTACATTTATTTTAATAGATCTTAAAGGAAAATGTCACCAGATAGTTTTATCAGTTATGCATGAGGATATGAAAGATAGAATTGAAGAAAAAAAAACACTTGGGCTTTTTACCAAGAAATGACAAGGAATTTTTTTACCACTGTGGAGAAAAGATMAGCAAACAAAGCAAAAATAGAAATGTGTGTGGTCCATGAGAGAAATTTGTTACTCCAAATTTATTTGGTGTTTCACAGTGCTTGGCATGGGAGTATTTGGTGTTTCACAGCCCTCCCTGACAAATCAATTCGTGCTTAAAACATCAGAAAACCCAAAATTATTTCAGAAGCCAAGAGTGGAACAGCAGCAGCTGCAGCAAGGAAAGGGCAGATCCTGGTTTGGGGTGGGTTTGGGGTGGATTTGGGGTGGGTTTGGGGTGGTGAGGATTGTGTCCTGAGCAAGGATTGGGGTGAGGGACTGCCCAAAATCCCAATAATCCCCGAGGGACAGGGACAGGGCAGGTTTGAACAGCTCCATGAGTGTGGTGTAAATCAGAAAGAAATGGCAAAACCAACTCCAGCCTAAACCAGCTCCAAACTGGGATCTGCTGGGCAGGAGGGCAYGGCTGTGCTGCTCTGACWCTGCTCTGAGGGAGGGACATAAATCAGCTTTTTATCAGCTCCAGAGAGAGGGAAGATGAATGAGCAGAGCTAATTAAAGACAGCAGAAGGACAGAGGTTATTCCTGGCCATTCCAATCTCCTCGTTCACTGGCGACAGAAACTTTCCCTTATGCCCATTAAAAAGTGCCAAATACTTGTGGGATTCACATAACTCTGATCCAATGAGAAAGATTCTGCACGCTGATGGAGAATATTTTAAATTTTTTAGTGAAGTAGTCCCATTGTTGTAAAAGAATTATTACTCTTCTCTATGAAAACACCAAGCAGTAATTAATTCTGTTCTGTGATTGATTGTTAATTATGATTTAGATGTTGACATTGTGCAGTTCTGCACTGACACTCTTCTCTTCAGGTCCAATGAGTATTTCTGCCTGTGACAATGCTCATGCATTATTATATTTATAAAATGAACATTKAAGCACCAGCTCCACTGATACTCCCCCAGAAATAACAAATAATAAAATAATAGACTTTGTGGCTGACATTCCCCCACTTTGCTTTGGAAAGAAATACAAACTGTTTCTGATAACAGYGAAGTGTGAAGCTGGAAAATCTCAATTGTTTGGAAACCAAATTGTCTATTCTGAAAAATACAGCACCTGCACAGCCCAAAGAATTGAACTGACAGAAAATGAAACAATGAAGTATTAAATGCAATCACTAATCCACTGGATTTTCAGGAACTGCAAATGAAAAGTGTATCGTGGTTTTGTAAACCTTGGCTAAAAATTTGGATTTCTTTGTATTTGTTCTGAGTTTATTATGGAATTTAAAGGGAAGGAAGGATTGCAATTCCTGCAGCAGAGGACAGGACCTGCCCCATCCTGGACAATCTCCCTGCTGGCCCCACCCTTGTCTTGGTGCTCTTTGTTTCCTATTTTATATACAGCCATCAATGAATGGACATAGCTGTAAAGTTGATTAAAGAAGGCACTCAATTAAGGGTTGTAATTAAAGCAGCGGAGGAAATGACAATGGAATTGAAAATTCCGAGTGAGCCYGTGTGATGTACAGGCTGATGGTGTTAAGGCAGTAATCTGAATAAAATAATTGATTCTGTGGCCATTAGTCTTTYCTAATGAGATTAAGGACGAGGTGGCACGATCTTGCTAATTAATTTGTTTTGTGACTTTGAAATATGATGTAATGGAAGAGAACCGGTGATGGTTTAATGCACCAGGAAGCTCTCAGAGTGTAACACAAATATCATCAAAGTGGTGTGGTATTCTCAGTTGTGATGGAGCTGAGGATAATATTTGACTTTATTCTAAAACATTAAAGCAAACATTGTGCACAGAAAGGTTCAGGAGATGCTCCTCAGCTGCATTTGAGGGTTCTGTCAGGACTTTGTGCTTCCCATGACTGGCACCAGCCTGGGCTGGGGACCATTGCCAGGAATATTAGTGTGGTACTATCAAAAAATGGGATTTTCCTATTAAACTGACCCTTGCCTGTCAGTTAGTACCACTTTTGTCATTAAAATAAAAAAAAACAAAAAAACAAGACATGCATCCAAATTGATTTCCAAAACTGTTTCACAGCCCAGGCAGGGAGGTTTGGTCATTGGGGTTTGTGACTATTTTGTGTTATCTCAGAAGCTGATGAAGTGTTTATACCTTCCCATCAGAGGAGGTTTAGCTTTATAAAACACCTTCATCTGTGGAGATGTGCAGAGCAGAGCTGTCAGTGGTAAAACTCCAGGTGGGAAGGCTGGAATTGTGCAGGAATGGTAAAAACTCCTTGCAGAACAACACTTGGATTGCAAATCCTGCGCTTGAACCCCGAGCTGAGCCCTGAACTGGCATTTCTGGGTGCCAGTTCGAAATGGCACCCAGAAATTTCGAACTCTGGTAATTTCTCAAGCACCCACTGCCCATGGGCATCACCCTCCCATCAGAACATCTCCGTGCTGTGAATGTGCTGCGCTGTGTTTGTGTTTGAGAGGAATAATCGCAGCTCTAAACCAAACTCTGATCCCTTGTGCTGCCTGAAGTGGCTTCTCCAAAGCCTTTCCCAGCAGAGCTCTGGAGGCTCAGCCGACCCTTAACGAGCCACACCTTAATGAGCCGCACCTTAATGAGCCACACCTTAACGAGCCACACCTGAATGAGCCCCACCCTAATGAACCGCACCTTAATTAACCACACCTTAACGAGCCGCACCTTAACGAGCCACACCTGAATGAGGGACACCTTAATGAGCCGCACCCTAATGAACCGCACCTTAATAAGCCCCACCTTTATGAACCGCGCTCAGTGAGCCGTTTCTCGGGCAGCAGGGTTGAATTACCATCCTCTCAGCTGACAGCCCTGGCTCTGCTGAGCGAGCTCATGAATTAGTGAAAGCTAATGTGAATGAATTGGTGAAAGAGAATGTGAGTGAATTCGTGAAGGATCCGCGCTCCTGCCCGGCCAGCGGGGCTGTGGGGTGAGCCCTTCCCGAGTGGTTCCCATGTCCCACAAAGCCAGCCCTGATGCTGCCGCCAGAGTTAGATCCGTGCCGATGGAGACACCACACATTATGTAAGTAAAAGCCTTTAAAAATAGCAGGAGGTGTGGGGGAATGAGTGGAAGTGTCTGTCATTAACTCGCTGCAATCTGTTSGAGTGTAACCTCTGATATTTAGCTGTGCACACAGGATGCCATTCGCACGCCTTGCCATTTCGTGTGTGTGTGCAGGGACAGCAGCCAGAGGTATTTCTGGAATTCCATTTCAGGAATAAAAAGTATCTTTGGCAGAACTTATTCATGCTTAGCATCCTCTCCTCTTGTGCAGCATGACGGTGTGGCAGGAATGCCGAGTGCTGTGCTGCGTTTGTGTGCCAGGGCAGGGATTGATCGGGGCATTGCGGTTCAGAGGGGATTTGGGATCGCTGAAACACAGACAGAGGGACAGGAACTCCTGTCCCAGCGCTGCCGGGGTGGGTGGCACCTTCTGTGCCCCGGGAAAAGCCCTCGGTTTTAGGGAGGACAGGGTTTTGGGGTGGACGGGGTTTTAGGGACAGGTTTTTGGGAGGGCAGGGTTTTGGGGTCAGGGTTTTAGGGTGGACAGGGTTTTAGGCAGGACACGGGGATCCCTCTGGCAAACGCCCATCGGGGAGATTCCCGTGGCATGAGGAGGAAGCTCAGGGATGCTCATGTGAGAGTTCAGCTGCAGAGGGGCAGAGCAGGGGCCAGCAGAGCTGGGGGTTGGTCCCCGGGCCGTTTTTGGCAGTTTTTTGGAGAGAACTGGACCCAAATGCTGTTTATGGGATGGCAGGGGCTTATTGCCGTGTTCCCCTGGGGTGTCCCTGAGGACGCGGCTCTGCCTGGGCTGGGCTGGAGCCTCTCGGGATTTCTCTCCCACCTCCCAGGGTATCTGAAATGAAGCCATCTCTGCAAAGTGGGGGCTCATCAGCAGTTCATTTGCTGRGCTTAATCAGCAGATCTTTGCACTCAGTTTGTTTATTTTCCAGTTAGCAAAATCAAACATTATGGAAAGGCGCCTCGCTGCCCCAGAGCCCGAGGTGCAGCACGATTTATTCCTGACACTGCTCTGCCAGCAGCTCCAGCACTGAGCTGCTCTGACCCGAATGGTGTGAGAACGGGGATGTGAGCACAGAGCACATGGTGTGGGGTTGGGAAAGCTCAGTGGGGAAAGGAGGATGCAGCAGAAGTTGTGACCAAAATGAACTGCAGAGCTCCCTCTGCTCTGTCCTGGGGTCAGTCTGAGCTGGGGCCACCCTGGCTTGGGTGCCAGGTGACCACCAGAGCTGCTCCACCCTCCCCAGGGGACAGAAAATACAATTTAAGGATCGTGGGTCAGGACAAGGAGAGGCAGAGACCGCTCAGGAATTGTTGTAGCAGAACAGACTCTCCTGGGGGAAAATGATTTATTACCAATGAAATGATTTATTACCAATGAAATCAGAGAAATAAAAACGAAGTTTAAAACGCTTCCCCCGGGCTCAGCTTTAGTTCTGAACAGTCTGCCTGTGGGGAATGGGGACTGTGTTCAGCGTTGTCTCCGCTGCTCCTAAAAGTGAGGAATTCTGAAAAAAGTGAGCAGTTCTGCCAAAAGGCCCTTTACTCCTGTTCCTGCTGGATTTCAGCAGTGTCCCCGTGCTGTTGGACACTCCCCAGTGTCAGGGATGGATGCACAGTCCGGTGTTTCCCCAGCTCTGCTCGATGCTCTGCGCCTGTGGAAGCTCCACAATTCAGCCCTGGTGGTGGAGATCTCCTCCCTGCACAGATTTGTGTCTGTTCCTCCATCAGCTCCTTATAGCCCTCGATCAGTCCCTGCCAGTTAAATCTGAAAGGTCCCAGTTTTGTTTTTGCCAGACCCAGAGCTGATCCCAGAGCTGATCCAGAGCCCCCTTCTCTCCTGTCCAGGGTGGGCTCTTGCTGAGTTCTGTGCATGGAATCATCTCCACAATCTGCTGATCTTCTCCTGAGACGAGCAGAGACAATTTAATTGCATTTCATGCTAGACTTCACATCAGACTTGGATTCATTTGAAGCTGTCACAGTGCTGATGTTGTSTTACATTGTTGTTTAAATGCCTCTTTATTTTGAAGAAGTTTTTTTTCACTGGTTTTGCTGTTTCTGGAGGAAGCAGCTTGGAATGGATGTGGTTTTCTTGCTGTGGGTGGCACTCAGATGGATTGGCTCGGTGTGAGGAAGGGAAGCTAATTTTGCCCGAGGGAAGGAGAGGTTTTTTGGATCCTTTCTGGGGTTGTGGAGCTCAGCTGTAACCAATGGGATCTGGGCAGAGATCAGTGGGAGGTTTTGYGCTGTTTTAGTGACTCTGGATTGCGTCTGTCTCCGTGATTCACCCKCTCTGTTGAGTCACTTTGCAAATGCTGTTTGCTGCCCAGAACTAAAAATGCTTAGCAGAGAATTGGGTAGATTTGAACCATCCCARATTCCGAATCCTTCAAGTTTTCTCAGAAGCATGTGGACTTCAAAGTGTATCTGCATGAAAATGTGCTGTACTTCAGGTGGTTATTCCCAAACCTTCTTTGAAACAGAATTTGAGAATGTTGTGTTCACAGACTCCATCCCAAAAGCTGTGAAATATCAAATCTAAAGATCCCTCTAAGCTCAGGAGTCCTGTGAATTGAGGGGTGACACAGCAAAAACACCCCTGGGTTTCTAAAGGTGCTTTGTATTAACCTGTGCTGGGAATTCATTGTTAACACAAAAAGATATTCTGGCAAACCTGCAGACTGTAATGAGAAATATTTGAGAGAATTTTCTGCTTTTTTTTGTGTCCCCACATTTCTCAGAGGAGGTATTGAAACAAWTTTTTCACTTCCACTCTGAAATTCATTTCTTTCAGGGTGCCAGTGACGAGAGCAGTTTGGGCTTATTTTGGGGTTTTGTGTTGGGTTTCAGTCTTGTTGCTGTCCTGACAAAGGTATTTATTCAGCAAGGCTGAATTCATTAATTGAGCTTGGCTTTCATTGTGTGCAGGGGATAATGAACCATCACCCTCCTGTTTTTGGGGGCTCCAGCAGTGAAAATCAGACAGCACAGCCTGTGGCAGGAGGAGCTGGGACAAAGTGCCCTTTGGCTTTTCCCTTTCATTCTGCACAGTTTGGGAATGATCCCTGGGACAAAGTGCCCCTTGGCTTTTCTCTCTCATTCTGCACAGTTTGGGAATGATCCCTCACAGCTCAGCCTGCAATTCACAGAAATACCTGATCAGACCCGATTTATAGAGGAGACACAGATTTCTGGGGCTCCTGTCACCACCTGAAATCAAAAACATCAGCACTGGCAGTTTTTAGCAAGTCCTGTCTTTATTTTTACAGTTTTATGCCAATTGATGCGTTTGAAGACAAGTTTTGTTTTGCAATCCGTGCTGCTGCTCTCGGTTTTGGGGTTTTTTTGCACAACTTCAGGGCCTTGGGGATTTCTGAGAGGAGACTTTGGGAGAAGGAGGGTTCAACTCCCCCATCTTCACATTGATGTGCTTCCTGCTGATTCCTGAAACTCCTGTAGAATGATAGAAGTGCTTACACAAAACCCTTTTGTACTTGTGATGTAATCTCAGCGTGAAATGAGAATTTAAAAGCCAAAAATACGACACAAATGGTCATTGCAATGCTTGGTGCTGGATGCAGGAATAAACAGTGCAGGATCCTGTGCTTGGTGGTTRCAGTCAGCACATCCCAGTCTGTTTGGTCCATCCTGACCCTGCTTTCTCAACAGCAGCAGATTTTTTCCTGGTTGGATTTCTGTGTTTGCATGTGTTCAGATTTTCAGGCACCTTTTGAATTTAGAGAAGAAACTTCCAGAAGGGGTTGGTCAGTTTGGCTGGTCCCCATCTCCTGGTGACTGAGTTATGAGATGCAGTTCATTTATCACCTTTGGTCTTCAAAGCACTTTGCAACCAGGAACTAAGAGAGTAATTTAAGGAAAAATTCATTTAAAAATACCATTTTTAAACCTTATGGCCTCACWATTCTTCTTTGTACCTCACTGAAGTGAAAGCAAAGGCTTAAAGCTTTGCTTTAAGAGCCTGATATTTGGAGCTCGAGGCTCTAAATTTGGTGCTGGATTTATCCATCTGAAGGAATGACTTTGATTGCATCAGAAGTAATTATATTTAATACGACAAGAGAAAAGTGCACAAATGTGGTATTTTGAACGGCTCTTAATGCCTTCTTTGCATCTCTGCTTCTGAAAAGAATAATTGCAGGGCTGAGATGTGAACAGAATGTTAAGGTCCGGTGAGAGGCATTTCTGGTGAAAATGTGGAGTCAATGGTGTGATTTCTGGTGAAAATGTGGAGTCAATGGTGTGATTTCTGGTGAAAATGTGGAGTCA